CTCCCATGTGTAATCCCTGCTTCCTCTTGGTCTATAAAAGGAAAGGCAGAGCACCCCATTAGGGGATGGAAAAATAGAACACACCACGCATCACATAACACATAGCTGAGCAGCAACAAAGCTCTTAGCGTCCTTTCAACCTTTCCATCAGAGACTTGGGACCTGTCCCTCTCTCGTCCGTTTGTAACCCCTACTATGAACCTTTCAGTACTAATAACACGAGCAGCAACCGCAAACTAGATGTAGGGACATTCTGCCCGAACTAGTATAAACTTTGTGTCTTTTAACACACCATCCGGGTCCAATGCGCAATAATATAAATTTACTCGTTGGTGTTTACTCGAAACACCGACACTGGGAGTTGGATTTTTTTTGCCTTTAGATGGACGGGAATCGACGATGATGCTAACGCTGTTACCTTCAACGTTACGGAATGCTAGTTTCAGACAATAGTTGCATCTTTTATTGGTATTTTACGTAACGGAGTTCTTTCGATGATATTTTTCGAATCTCGTGATCTTTCGATGCTATAAAACTAATTTTCTCATATATATATATAGACGTACTGTTTTGTAGCTGGCCGCAGAATAAGTTATTTTGTGGTCACTTTGAGTTACGATAATTACTATACTAATTTACGAGATTTTTATGGTAACTTCCTCATAAGTGATTTTACTATAGCATTATGGTAAGTATCATCTTGAATTATAGTAACCCATGTATCGTAAATATGTATTGTCATTATAGTAAATTGGTACAAACATTATCGTAAATCAAATTGACCATAGAATAAGTTATTCTGTGGTCAGCTGTAGAATAGTCTTACCTCTATATATATATATATATAGAGAGAGAGAGAGAGAGAGGTGAGTTTTTTTTACTCCCACGAGTAGTTGCTCCCACCAAGAGTATATGTATCAAGCCGGAGTCGGGGCTGGTTAATCAGAGTATGAATTGATAATCAGAGTATGTGTCCGTACTTCCCTCTAGAATTGATACTCCAGCCAGTAATACGTTTAGTATGAATTGATAGTCCAGCCAGTAATCAGAGTATTACTCCAGCCAGTAATCAGAGTATGTGTCCGTACTTCCCTCTAGAATTGATACTCCAGCCAGTAATACGTTTAGTATGAATTGATATTCCAGCCAGTAATCAGAGTATGTGTCCGTACTTCCCTCTAGAATTGATACTCCAGCCAGTAATACGTTTAGTATGAATTGATAGTCCAGCCAGTAATCAGAGTATTACTCCAGCCAGTAATCAGAGTATGTGTCCGTACTTCCCTCTAGAATTGATACTCCAGCCAGTAATACGTTTAGTATGAATTGATATTCCAGCCAGTAATCAGAGTATGTGTCCGTACTTCCCTCTAGAATTGATCGGTCAAGTATTGTTTCCGTTCAGGGGTACTGTCGCCGAGGATTCGTCCGCAGTCCTTACTTACATGGTTTAGAGGAGGGAGTAACTACTCTCTCGGGGAGTAGAAATTTTTTTATATATATATATATATATATATATAATATATATAGCGGCGCGTAGGCGGACAACACACGTGCACACGCACGCTACCGTCACACAACACAATAGCGTTGTTGATCCGCTACGGCCTGCAAACCTTGGCGTTCTTTTCTTCCTAGGCCTGGGCTCCCGCCTCCATTCTGGGCTTCCGGCCCATCACTTGACTAGGCGATCACCTCGTCGCGCGTCGGCAACGAAGTAGTGACACCCTCGATGGGGTCGGGGAAGTGGCAGAGTGGCAGAGTGGCAGGCAGTGGCACGGCGCCTGCGGTCACTCCATGAGGTGATGCTCAACGTCGTAGCGCGCAAGCACGACTTTACACCCGAACGGACAACTGCTGGCGATAAAAAAAACATCGTCCTAGACTAGTCGGTATGCGGTGCAGTAACAAAAACAATCTTCTTTTGTTAAACTCTGAATCCAAAAACTAATCCTACCCTCTTGACGCTGGCATTGTCTCATAGTATCTGCAATTATGATACTCTTTTTTTTTATATCACATTTTCTAGAATATCTTGAGATCCAAATAGGGCCTCAATCACTCTCTTTGTCCCAAGTCAAGCTTTTCTAATTTGAACTAAATTTATAGGAAAATGCATCAGCATTCATAATATCAAATTACTTTTTATTAAATCTATATCTCTTATAATTCTAAACGCTACTAGAATATTATCTTGACATGCAAAGTGTTCACCTCAACAGTCCACTGTTACTTGCAATTAAAATCCACTAGCACAAGCAATTATAATATCCACATTAGCGAGACACATCACCCACTAACATATATTTAGTTGTCCACATCAGCGTGTCCGCTATCCACTAACATTAGTTTATAATAGTTAATCTCTTCCTAAGAATTATATGAATAGTTAAATTTCATTCCAAATCAGTGTTCCAGCAACGCGCGGGATGTTCCTCTAGGACTCTTATAAAGCAAAATCCTACTACCTATTTCTTTGAGATTTCATGAGGCCACATCATCACCAGAGCCCCACTAAGTCATTAAGTACAAACACTAAATTGCATTCGTAAGCCCCATTAAGAGTAACTTCAAACACTAAATTGCATTTGCTGCCAAGTCACCAAGCCATCAAGAGGCACCGTAATCCAACTATGCGTCCAAGCCATTACAAATGTTCACCCTACACCTTCTTCATGACAACTCTGTCCAGCAACAAACTATCTTGTCCTTACAACTCCTCTACTCCACTTCCATAATGAAGCTAGCAGCTAACCAAATTCATCCGTATTTTCTATTGGATACCCGCAACAATAATGCGGGGAAGTCCTCTATAGTAACCTATATAGATGGAACCCACTAAGTGTCATCAATTGCTATTTCTCTCTTCTCTGGTGCAGCCATGTCATCTTAAATTCATCACCATTGGATCCTGATCTTCAAATCGAATTTGTCCATCCATGTGTCATTAACTCAAGCATGGTGTACCGTAGGATCCTTTCCCATTTCACTGCTGAATGCACGGGGTGACCTTGGTTAAATAATTTTCATTCTAATCACTTTCATAAATAGCCTCTCCATTCCTCCATCCACTCACACGCATGGCCATCATGCCTTTTAGTGCTTTACGTTTGATCCTTTCTCATTCCACTACTACATGCATGCAACATGCAATTCCATCCTAGTTACGTTGATAAATAGCCTCTCCACTCCATTTCCAGCTCTCACGCTGGCCATTGTGCCTCATTTGGTTTTCTTGCTCTCCCTCTATATATAGTGCTCCACACACCAAGAAGGAATGGAGACAAACCACAGGTAAGTGCTCAGAGCTTATGCTTCTTCTTTCAAATTGGTTTCTGAATCCTAAAGGTGTGAGATCGATCAATCTACTCTGCTGCTTGATGACTAATGTATCCACTATTGTTTTCCAGGACCAAAGTTAGCATATGGAGAAGTACCATGCCCTCATCACATCAAGAAGACTATGGTGTTCCTTTTACATCATTTTCCATATTAATCCTGTTTGAACATTATTTCAGGATTGTAATTAGCTTAAGCCACATTTTGTCCTTTCGTGAAATTAATCGCCATTGGTCTTCATGTATACTACTTTGTTGGATGGTACAATAATACCATATTTTTATTTCACTTTTGTGCATGTTCGTGCTTCTTGCGTGATCAGTCTATTTGTCATTCACGAGATACCACTTTTTAAAAGTCCCACGACAACGCACAGGATATTCACCTAGTTCTTCATTAAAAACATGTCTTGATAGTGCATTTATTTGCATTTGTAGATGCTAATGCACTTTTTCATAAAAACTTGGTAGAGTTGGAGAAGTCAAAGTTGAGCTGAATCACATGCTTCATGTCGTACAAAAAGTTCAGACCAATCACAATATTTTTTAATGTTAACCTCTGCTTACACCAAAAGACAGTAAAATAATATTACTGTTTGAGTCACTGGACAGGTGCTACAAGATTTATCTTGAGATTCCCATAGGCTAATTAGAAAACCCCAGAAAGTCCCTGGATATCAAATCTGTAATGTATGGTCATATTTATTTTCTTTGGACACAATCAATGGCAGGTCCCAAATCTTCACATTAGAAACACCGGTATCATGATGATGCTTTGTTCTGGCAATGAACGGACCTGTAAATTTCGACAACTGTTGCTGTAAAAAAAAAGTCCAAGAAGAAGAAAAAATTGCTGAGATAATAATCAGAAACACAGCTATCATATTAAGGCACTTCAGATGTTTGCACGGTAGTAGAAGGCACAGTCACACATTTAACCATATACTAAAAGAAAAGCATGGAGACATAGCTGTACAAACCCAGGGTTCATAAAAAAAATAACATGGGTGCTATCCTGAACAACTAATCCCATCTCAGCATTTTCTAAACGAACCATGATTCCAGGTCATAGTTAACTGCTGTTTAGAAGACCGTTTTCTGTTTCATCATTTATAAGTGGGAAATAATAGCTATCAGCATTGTTATGAAAGAACTAGATGGTACTTCTCATATTTGAAGACTTCTTAAGCATGTACAACACTAGAAAATTTACTCCCGCAGTTTACACAAAAACTTGTTGTTTATGACAAGATTTGGTCAAACATAAAAACTACAAACATCAGTAACTATTACATTATTCAGTTTGGGAACAAGTAGTTTAGGGACGAAGCCAGAAAAAAATTTAGGAGGGGCCGAACAAAAGAATAGAGGCTTTTTTATCTTCTTTTAACCTTAGCCCCTCCTACCTAATATATATATGCATAAAATTTTAAGGGGGGCTTAGGGGGGCTCCACGTGCCCAGGATTGGTAGGGGGGGCTAGAGCCCCCCCAGCCCCACCGCTGGCTCCGTCGCTAAGTAGTTATATGTGTAGATATAAGAAAAACAATGTCTAAAATTTGAAGGTTTTTAAGAATAATATTCTAGAACAAATTAGTGGTCAAAGATATGTATCGGAGACCATGCAAAGTCAAATGCGTAATGTTTTTGAAAACTACGTACCTCATTTCTTTACTTCAAGGGTAGCAAGTCCAGCAATATCAGGATTCTTGAGCTGCTCAAGCTGCTTCTTCCCTCTCCTCAACAAGTACTCTATGTGTACAAAGTTCCTACGGTCAACACTCCTTGCGTTGTCATGAAACTCTGCCGAGACAACAGACTCAATCCTGCGGCGCTCTTCAGGGGCCTTAAGGCGTGCTGTCCGAAGGAATCCCCTGTACAGCGCCAAAACCTGCTTCTGAATACCAGACAGCTTTGGACGGGAGGCCATATCATCCTTGTAAAGCAATCATCACAGCCTGATACAAATGTAAGTTTTTTTCAGACAATAGACATGTTTTTGTGATGGAGGAGATACCATCATAATTTTTAATGGATCAAGCATGAAGCAATGGTCTTACTCTCCTAGAAAACCAGCTTGGCTGCATCAAAAATAATTGCCACATCAAACAAATCATGGCAGCAGTAGATGTACCAAACAAGGTGAGATGTAACGGCCTAATGGGTCATTGATTTTTCTAAAAAGAAAAGGAAAACTACCTACAGTCCCACCTTAATTGGGTACCAAGGACTAATTTCGATCTTGGGGCGATGGAGAAGAATGACTTAATCGAACTACGGATTGATTAATTGAAAGGGAGGTTAGCACATAACAAATGAATCATAACTAACTAAAATGAGAAGAAATCTTCGGATTTTATTTCACAGCAATGAGAGGAGCCCTAAGAATAGAATGAACTCCTAGGATAATAAATCCAAGCAATCTAGGAATACTGACCAAGAAAATCGGAAAAGGAATAAACCAAACCATAAAGGGAGAAAGAAATCTTCAGATTTGAACACCACTCGACTGCACAAGAACGATGGATGAAACAGTGTTGAAGTTACAACAACGGACAGAATAGCGGAAGGTTGAGAATCCAGTGGGGGGAGGACTGAGGGATGCAAGCACAGTGCCCTGGCTATGCCATGTTTTGGAACTTGGGGAGTAGGTTTGGAGTTCAGAGCAGGCCTTGGGCTCGGTCCCTGATGGCTAGCCTTCATAGTCTCGTATAGCCCATGAAATTTTCAAGTATCAGAATTTCTAATGTTGCTGGACTAGATTTTTTTACGCCATACTCACTTTTCAACCAGCTGGATCTTTCCAAACAAAAATTTAGCGGTCAGGATGTAATCAGTTGGGACCCATACTTGTATTTCCCATGAAACAATTTAATGCTTTGACATTACTGCGCTTTCCTGAATGTGGGAAAATAGCCTCCGATGATAACAGAGTATCACAATTCACAACATGCAGAGTTGCAGACAAATAAGATGTGGTGCAGTAATTTAGATCTAGTTCCGTATAGATTTGGTTATGTAGGTTATCACAGCTTCACAGATCTTGCAGATTTGTAAGTTGTAATTGGTCGATACAGGGAGTCGTAAAGCAATAATCTCTTAACTGGTGTCTACCATACTTTCTATTCACTGTTTTAAGTAATAATGTATGCACGTATAGGGCTTAACTAACTGCATATAATTGGCCAGTTTTAGAACCAAAGTTTTTTTCACCAGGGTCTGCTTTGTGCCACATCTTGAATCTAAAAGAACTAATTGTGCACATCATGAATTGAGCACCATAAAACTGCATACTTATATTATGTGGTCAAAATGCTTATGTAGTCAATTTTTATGATACATGGTTTTTTTATGATGGTGCCAACTCTGGAAGTCAGACAAGCCTAGATGCTTCGTTGTAATCTTTCACCCATGCGTCGAAGATGAAGCCATTGCTGGTCAATTCAAAATAATGGCACACATATCAATTATCAAGTGAGCAGAACTTTGATAAACATGATAGCATGAACCACAAAGACGTTGCCCATTATCACAGTTTCATAGTCATAGAGCCCTTTCATATCCATGTAAGCACCACAAGAACTATGGCTGATAATGCAGGGGCCTCTTACTGGGAAGGTTTCAACAGGCAGTTTTTTTGACACTTACAATAAGCTTAATACAAATGGGTTTGTGTGTGTAGAAGATTTTTTTTGCCTAGAGAAAATAATACACTGTGAATCTACGATGATTTTTTTTTTTGTGCAGCACTTACCCTAATTTAGTAGGATAGGACTAGAAATGGGATAAAGTACAGCAAGGCATCACTTGGGAGATAAAAAAAAGACTACTCATGTTTAGAATGGTTACTGCCAAAGTTTTTTCTTTCCTCTACGGCTACTTCTGACACCAACTTGAGGACTTTAGCAAATGTCCCTTGCTTCCCAGCTCGTTGGTCACGGGTTAGTATCTAATCACGATGGTTCTCAGATAAGCTGCAGCATGCCAACATCCTACACCCGCATTTCCTATATCTATGTACAGAAATGGGCCAGAGATCAAGGTTTGTTGCTGGAAGCCTAGAACATAAGGCGAACCCAGTAAAGGACATGGGTATACACATGTACACCCAATATTTTTTTGCAAAAAAAAACAAAGAAAGAAAAAAAAATGAAGTCTGTAGGCACAAAACATGTATACTACACTTAGGGCCTGTTTGGATCCATTTGCACTAAAAATTAGCAGCTAAAATGAGTACAATCCAAACAGACCTGCTAATAAACCTGCTAATTAATAGTTGGTAGGCTGGTAACTATTAGTTCCATTAGCAGATTTGGAGTTCCTAATAGGTGCTAATAGTTCATATGTATCTAAAATTCACTATCCAACCACCTATTAGCAGATTAATCCAAACAACCCCTACTAAAAATTAGCTAGCTAAAAAAAGCAGCTATAAGCTATTAGCTAGCTATATTTTTTTGTGCTAATGGATCCAAACAGACCCTCAGTAACTGGATCAGATCAGGATCCGAGTGCAAATAGCTTAAGCTAGGGTCTGGGTGCTCGGTTCCGCACAGCAGGAACGGAAGAGAAGGGGTGGGCGCACCTCTTGGGTGCTGGTCGCCGGTGAAGGGCCGAAGATGGAAACCTGAGCACCTGGCGACTGACGTAGGGCGGTGGCGGCGGCGGCGGTGGCGGTGGCGGTGGCGGGGTTCGCTCAGCCGTCGCCACTAGAGAGAGGACACGGGAGAACCACGCGGGGGAACAATAGGCCGCCGATCATCGGGTCCTAGCCTTCCGACCAACGCCTCTTCCTGGTCTCACAAATGCAGTTTTCGGCCCACGTAAGCTAGAGTTCGGCCCAATCAACCGGTTTCGGCCTAGTCGGAGTTCAGCCCACACAAGTGATATTTCTCTCTGTTTTCCCGAACAATTTTTGTGCGCACATTCCAACCGCCGTAAAACTTGTAGCTAAAAAAAGGCGACCCTCTTCACCGCTTCGACCCGACGATCCTCGGCTTGGTTCCCCAAATCCTTTCCCACCGCATGCATGTCGCAATGATCCATGCAGGTATAGCGCCATGGCGCGGAGCAGGGTGCAGTGAATGGGGCCCAGATTGATTGCGGCCATTCGGGCGCGAGTACGCACGCACGCCCAAGTGGCGACGGAGGTGAGGGCTGGATGTCGAGGCTGAACCGCCGCCGGCTTGGGGAGCGAGTGGAGTTCAGGTTCTCCGGCCTCCGCGCCGTCCAGGTGATTTTTGTTTGTATCTCTCATTATTACGCGTTGCGAGTTCGGCGATTCGTGTGAGGCCGAGCGGTCGTTCGTTCCATTGCTAGAGTGTATGCATTGGAATTTTTTTTAGGGCGGGGGCAAGAATCGCAACTCAACATTGAGCGGTTTGAATTCCGGGTTTACAAAAAAAAATGTCGTTGATGATGGGTTACGGCCACGTGATGCGGCGATTTGTCCTCGCGTGATGGATCAGACAATCGATTGGTAACCCACTGAATGACTGAATTTAATCTTAGCATGCGTTGCTTGGCAACGTGAACTGTACATATGCGCTCCCTCTAATAGAAAAGAGTTTCCTCCTTGGCGTCGTCATTTTGCAGTTAGATTCAGTAAGAGAAGAAAATGCTAGTCATCAAAATCTAGAACAACAGATCATAAATCAGGAGACTACTTATTGATCATTGTTCGCTACCTCGAGATAATTATGCTTTCTTTTGGATTGTGCAGACCATAGTGGAGGCATCTGTAGATGGCTCCATCTCCTCATTATTTGTTGAGGAGTGTGCTTCTATGCTATTTTTTATTGTAATGAGCATGTAGCTTTAAGCAGTGACTGGGGCCCAGATTGATTGCAACTTTGATTGTATAAGGGTCTCTGGCATTTATTGCTCGGCAGTTGTACTCATTTTTACTCAGAATAGGCATGGTGGCATGCATCATAAAACATACAGAGGAAACAATACATGTGCTATTTCATTTGTTCCATGATAGTGAAATAGAAACACCAGTTATGCTTGTGAATTTAGTGGTAATGTTGTGTGATGTCCTGAAGTACTCGAGTTTATTAATTTGATTTTGATTGGCACTTGTTCAATAGTTACCAGTGAGATAAGTTTGTTAATGTTATCTTCTAATTTATTGTTTTCGAACAGGTGCCAGTAGTATCTGACAGGCTGTTACTTTCTATAATCTCAGTGGACACAGGCAAAACAATTGCCAGGTCCAGTAAAGCTGCTGCTCGAAATGGAATCTGTCAATGGCCTGACTCGATCCTGGAATCAATATGGTTTTCTCAAGATGAAGCGTCAAAAGAATATGAGGATTGTCAATGTAGGATTGCTGTTTCCATGGTATAGTGTTGTTGCTATACACATGTTTTGTTTATTACTTGTTTATGTGATTTTTGCCTATGTACTATATTGTAGTGTTACTTGCAAAACATTACCTGTTACAGGGATCAACAAAAGGTGCTATTCTCGGGGAAGTTTTTCTAAACCTGACTAACTATCTGAGTTCAGAAGACTCAACTGCAATCTCATTGCCATTGAAGAAATGCAATTCTGGAACAGTTTTACAGGTTGGTTTCAATAGGTGTGCTCCCCCCCCCCCTCCAGAATTTCCAAAAGTTTGGTATTTTCATATGATTCACTGGGTTCACCATTCCTTTAGTCTTTGTAGTTATGCTTCAAACTAAAGTATTTCTGAAAAAGTCAAAGTAATTTGATGTTCTCTTGACCTGCATAAATTGTGTTACTTTTCTATTCTCTGAACTAGTTTCCTATTCTTGTGACCTGGCATCAAAATTAGCTGGATGTTGTATACTCACTGGCGGTGATTTGGTTAGGCCATTGCCTTCACTTTGTATTGCAGGAGTGCTTGTGCTTAATTAATAATATACTGTAGCTTATGGTTTGCTACTCCTCATATGCAACATAGTCTTACTAGCAGTGCACACGCTGTAGTGCATCTACGATATAGTCCGTAACTCTGTATTCCATTTGGTTTGACCAGTTAATCTTGCAAAGAGCTCACAAATCAACTTTTAGTCTAAATTCTGTATGCTTCTCTGTCCAATAAATGAAGATACTAAAGCTTTTGGATTCTGAGATGTTCACTCATCTTACAATTTACACAAAGTTTGTGTTTTCCCATCCAATGAACAAAAATACTAAATACTATGCATTTTGATGTTTCAAGTGGTTGCTGAGCAGTTTATACCATTTGTACGAGAGGTCACAACATTTCTCTCATTGGGGTGAGTTGGGTTTAAGTGGTTTTCTAGAGGGGAACCACCTCGGTTTGTCTAGTTTGAGAATCTCTCAGCAGAAGAAATACATTTCTTTTGACATATATTTACTTAAACTAATGTCTAATGTTTGTTATGTGCAGCTTAAGATTCAGTGTCTTGGCACAAAGTCTAAATCAAGGTACTTGATGATTCCTATTGTTGCTTTGGCTATATCTTAGGTCTTAGGTGATCACCTCAGTACAACCTTTTTTTCTTGGCTTCTCATAGAAGGGTTTTTTTTGTTACCTTTTTCCCTATACACTGGTATGGAACTATTGAATGGACCATCTCCATGTTTTGTTGGCAATAGTCCAAGCAATGATGACATGGACAACAAATCAGATGGTTCTAATAACTTGATCACCAGGAATGTTAATTTCTCATCAACAAACCATTTAGGTGGTTTTCATCAAGATGAAGTTGGGATTAGGGTACGATTGCTCAAAACTCTTCCTTTTTTGTTATTAATTACTCCCTACGGTTCACAATACTTGTTTTAGAGATGGGGACGAGAACTAAGAAGGTAGATAAAGTGGAGGGAAGTAGGTTGTCTTGTATGGGGTTTCTTTCCCCTTTTCTCTCTCTAATATAAAAGATGCGCAGCTCTCCTGCGTGTTCGATAAAAAAAAGAAGAAGAAGGTAGATTAAATGACAATACTACCCCCAATTAGTCTTCCCTAAAGTGTGCATACATGAAGAAATAAGGTTATGGGCTTATGGCTGGAAAAAATATGTTGAAGCTACCTAGTTGTAGAACAGGCATTTTGAAGATTGTAAAAGAGGCTAAAACAAGTATTTTGAACTGGAGGGAGTAGTAAGATTACTATGCGCAAATATAGATTGTGAAATGTATTTCAGGATACAAGCTTCTCACGATCTCCAAGGAATGATTCTGATGAGGGATTGTACATAGAGAGGCAAGATACTGTTAGTTCTTTTATTGACGATATCAGCGTGGGTCATGGTGATCTGATTTATAGATCTAATGATTCATCTTTCAGTTCTCAAACTCCAGGTCGAAACATGCTGCAGGGGAGTATCGATGAGTCATCCTTAAGTGGTTTTGCTCAATTGTCATCAGGGGCATCTGGTTCATCCAAAGATCTCCTTGACGCTGCTGAAGAAACAATTGAAGAACTTCTTAGCGAGGCACATATGTGGGAGAGCCATTCTCAAAAATTGAAAAATGATCTAGAGACATTACAGAAGGAATGTGATGAAAAATCCAAGAAACAGACTGAGATATTGCTGGAACTTTCTGCTTCACAAGCCGAACAAGAGTCACTGAGACAAGAAATTGAAGAATTGAAATTGTCTTTGGAGGTGGCTACTGCACGGCAAACTGTTACTGGAATTCCCAAGTCTGGTGATGCAATAGATGTCCAGCTTGAACTAAAAGATGAGGTGCAATTTCTGAGAGAATCAAATGAAAACTTAACAACACAATTGAAGAAGAGTCAAGATGCAAATATAGAGCTTGTTTCTATTCTTCAAGAACTGGAAGAAACAATAGAAGCACAAAGAACAGAAATCTCCAATTTCACTCAAATGAGTAATGCGATTGATCATGAGGTACCCATGAATGCATTGTCAGTTCAAGAAGATGCAGAGTGGGAAAGGAAGATGTCACTAAAAGAAGATGAAATCATAGCATTGAGGGAGAAGTTGGATCGTGTACTCAGCATAGAGAATGCAGGTTGTGCTGGTTCTGATGCTATATATCTTGAACTGGAAAAAGAGAATGAATTTTTGAAGGTTCAAATGCAAGATCTTGAGAATGATTGTTCCGAATTAACAGAGGAAAATATGGAGCTTATACAAAAGTTGAAAGAAGTTAGTGGGGTCGAAGGACAGGATTCTTGCATTTCTGATATTCAGGAAATGTTAAATGCGGCAGATCTTTCTGGGACATCAAAATCTAGAGCAAAATACCTAGAAAGAAAATGTGCTGACCTTGAGCTGAGGATGTTGAATTTTCAATCGGAGTCTAGAGAACTAGAAGAGAAGCTCAAAAAAAGCCAAGAGGAGCTAAAAGAGAGAACTCTTGAATTATCTGAGCTCAGAGAGAACCTAAGTAGCTTCCGTGCTACAGAGCTGGAGAGAGAGGAAATCAATATTGCAAGAGGCTACCAGTTAAGAAGTGAAGAACTAGGAAACACGGAATCTGAATTGAATCTGTTGAAGGGTACAGTTCAGCTCAAAGAAAAAGAGATTGAAGGCTTGCAGCATTCTAAACTAGAAATGAAAACCTTTATAGATAATGTACTTGGACAGAAGATACATGAGCTTGAAATCTGCAAAGTGGAACTAGAGTTGCATATATCAAGGCTGGAAGATGAAAAATTAGAATTATTGGAGTCCATTTCTGGAATGGAGGTTGAGTTGACTAATCTGACAAGTGAGTACGAGTCATGTATAGTGCAAATGGATGATTCTAGAACAATGATCATAGATCTCAAGGATAAAGTAGAATGGCAGCAATCAGAGTTGGAAGCTCAAAAGGTGGAAGTGAAGCAAAAACAACTAGAATTTCAGAAAAGATTTTCAGAAGTGCAGGAGGATTCAGAGGCTCTAAGAAGATTGAATGCTAAACTGCAGGCTAAAGTTGATAATCTCATTGAAGATTGCAGTTCTCTTCAAGCATTGACGGATGATCTAAAGAAGGAAAAGTTGGAATTGCACAGTTGTGCTACACAGCTAGAGCAGGAATTGGAGCACTCGAAAAGAAAGACCACAGATTTTTGCAGAACTGTGGACTTCCTAGAGGTAAAACTTTCTTCGATTCAGAAAGATATATCTTCAAAAGAGCAATCTTTTATCTTGGAACTGGAGAATATACTTCATGAGCACAAGGAGCATGAAGAAAAGATAAATCGTGCACATTTCCTTTTAAACAAGATTGATAAAGAAAAGACTATCGAGGTAGAGAATCTTGAGAGGGAGGTCATGAGCCTTACTGCACAACTATCTTCAACACACGGGGAACAAGAAAGTTCCATGTTGGGTACTATTCGTGAGGCCTCCATCCTTCGAGCAGACAACGTGAAACTTCATTCCAATCTTCATGATGTAATTGAGCAGTTGAGACATTACGAGTCTCAGTTGGAAGATATACGCAAGGAGTCTAAAAGCAAGATTAAATCCCTCGCTGATTCACTCAATGCGTCGAAACAAAACGAAGAAATGCTGAAAACAGATGCCGAGGATATGAGAAGGCTGATGGAAGCTGTTAAATCCAATGAAGAAAATTTAAGAATAACTTCAAATGAATTAGAACTGAAATATAAATCTAGCGATTATGAGAAACTGCAAATAATGGAAGAAAATTCTGGATTAAAAGTTCAAGTTCAGAAAATAGCAGGTGTCCAAGATGAACTTTTGAAAGTGCAAAGTTCCCTTGATGAGGCTAAGTTTGAAAAGGGAAGACTAGAAGAGCTACTTCGGTTGATGTCTGAAGAATGTGATGAACTAAAGGTGCAAAAGGCCATGTTAACAGACAAAGTTTCACATATGCAGGATACTTCAAATACAATCAATGGAGACAAACAAAGTAAAACATCCATGCAAGCAAAGCTGAGCAGCATAAAACAGGTGAGTAATTAGATTTCTTATTCAGTATGCTTTCAGGTACTTCTCTCAATAAATAACTTTTGTGTGCACGCATGGTGAAACATATGAAACTTTTGTTATGCTAAATAATTAGATTTAAATGTGAAAAGTGAAAAACAACTTGATTACTTTCTCTCAGCTATTTCCTTACTTTTTTTAGGGGAACAATGATCTACCTACTGACAACGGAGGTTGTTCTCCAGTTAATGAGGAACCAGACCTGCAAGCAAAGATCCAGTCATTGGAAAGCAGACTTGCCGAAGCTCTGGAGGAAAATAGCATGTATAGGACACAGGTGAAGAGGTAATGCAATTCAGCACATACCTTGTCCATCCCTTTCCCAACTTTGTACAAGAAATATAATTTACACTCGCCCCTAAGATTTAATATTATATGTATGCATATCCTACGATTGATCAAGTTCTAATGATCTGTTAATAAAACTCCATCTTGGCAGTCATGTTAAACATTAGTGTCCTGAAACAGTCGGTGTTATACTAAGTACTTGCAACAGAGGAAATACTGTTATAGAGTCTGGACAATTTTTTTTCTTCTATGAATTGGTATAGGCTGTCAATCAGTGTTAGCGATCCAAATATGCAAAAATCTTCAGAAGTATTCATGACCTGACTGCGGCCTACCTCCTAGTGGATCATATTGTTACTTTTACCATGTACAGTCCCACTGCAGAGCGGCAATCTGGGAGCAGGAATGGTGAGGGGAATAATGATGACAAAATAGCACAACTGGAATCAGAACTAAAAGACATGCAGGACAGGTTACTGAACATGAGCTTGCAGTATGCGGAAGTAGAGGCCCAACGGGAGGAATTAGTGATGGAGCTTAAAAACGTAAATGCAAACAAAAAGGGGGGACGCTGGTTCTAGCAATTAGTGACAGAGCTCAAAAGCTGGGTGCCACAGTCATGACTCATGAGGCCCACAGGCCACAGCACAGCGAAGGTACCTAATCCGTGTATTCATTTCCTGCTTCTTTGAATGCACCCAGTTGCATTTGATTACCTGGAGAAAATAATTGTAAAATTAACATTATCTTCTTTATTACTCCTATACTTGGGTTGAACCGAAGCTGAAGCAAGTTTTTTCTCTGCATGTTTGTTTTTGGAACCAAGGATAGGGGCTCTGTCATCAGGAAGAAGAGAATACACCGTCCACTACATATCCTGGTAGGACATACCGACAGAAAGGTCTCCGCAACACCTCACCTAGGAAGCATTTGTTTTATTGATTGGTTTCGATTTAAGTTCATGAGATAATGAAATTTTATTTCCAAAATACAAACATTCATTTCAGACACCGAACATAGGTATTCTGCTTTACTAGATGAATCACCAATGTTAGGAACAATAAAATCATGTGCCCAAAAAAAACCTCTTTCATCTACTCAAAGAATCATTTTCAACCTCCTCTGCTTCCACTATATAGCATCGATCCTTCTAATGGTACATGTAACGAGCTGCTTGTCTAATTGCCAGGAAGCATGTTGTGAAAAATGCCAGAGGCATCCGGATCTTGGAGGCCACCATCGTGAGAATTGAGCAAGGGCACCAAGAGCCACGGGTGTTCTCCAGCCTCGGAGACAAATCGGACAATGACTATTCTCAGAACTTGAGATGCCCTGATCGTCTTGAACTGTCAATGCTATGCGAGACTATGTGGGCTAGAGTGACTACCGATCATGTTCATATGACCATACAGATCACCCTGCCTTTTTACACGACGCACAACATAGCTTCTGATAAACGTAGCTCCTTCTGAACTGTGCCTGAAAAAGATTAGATAGATGGTACTAATATTATGTGCTAGTTCATCTCACTCTATAGAGAACTTGTAGGAGACCTTTTGTGGAGGTAGCACGTATGGTTCGTCTTTGTTTATGCAATCTCATCACGTGCCCAGAGTCCACGCTCCTTTGTGGGGTGCTGCATGATTTGGACCGTTTGGTTTGCCCAGAGTCACCTGCAGCGTTGTTGTAGCCGTGGAGGCCTATGTGCGAGCCTGCGAAGGGGACGGGTGCGGACGCGCTGTTGTGTTGCATTCAGAATCAGGCAGTGGTATCTCGAATCTAAATGCCCAGCCTGGACGGATGCCGGCCTATTGTATTTTGCAATCCATACATATGATGTGATGTGATCCCTAACCTTGATTGATTAATTGCAAGATTTTGACAAATGCAACAATTGGGGACTTGTGGGGCTCTGGGCTCAAGAAGACGAAACCGTTGTTGGGCATGAACCTCGCATTGCTCGAGTGCTTTTCTACAAGGCTTATACAATGCCCAAAAACAAAACAAAAAAATACAGGACAAAATAAGATTATCACCCTATCACACCTATCACTATCTGTCAGCTTGCATTCGTGCAAGTGACAAATTGGTACATCCTAATAATCCTGTAAATTCTATAACTGGCTGTACCTAGTCAACCCAAAGACGCCAGCCACCACCTAACCTACCACGAGTTGCCGGATTATGAAGGATCTTGGTACGGAGTGCCGCCTCATTGGCTCTCCTCTGAGGCCTTATTCCAATATATATATTGGATATGGAAGGCCGGCACCCTCAAAAAAAAAAAAAGATATGGAAGGCCGGCAGGTGAGGCGTCGGCAATGATTCTACAGCGCTCTTTTGTCCAACGGCAGAATATTTTATGATTATGCAGGCAAATTTGTATGATTTGATACACCTGGGAATAAAGCTTAGCTGGACTTTATGATTTCTCCAACTACAGCGGTTGTTGGCTATATTCCCCCAACCCAATATGATAAACCACTACAATACACACAATTAGAAGATGGCATACTTAAAAGTGTTATATATATTTTTGTTGTTTGAACTTGCTTTGGTCTGGCAAAGTATGTATAGGTACTAGGCAACAAGACCGATTCCAGAGCATTTCAAAAACAGGGATGCCATGCTGAATTGGTCATGACCATGCCTTGAACCATGAAAAAAAAAATCATTCATCACATGCCATAATTTCGAATATACACAATTCAGAAAAATGGTGAATGATCACACCAGGTAGCCCTATATACTGTGACACCGAAACTACTCACGAATTTACAAGGTTAGTTAAAGTTAGCTGCACCTGCACTGCAATTGAACCATGCATGTATCAATCATGAATCATGTCATGACCCTCCGCCTCCGCCGGCCGCCGCGCGCCGCGCCACCGCGTCTTCTCTCTGTTCGTCTCTTATGGCTTCGATCATCGCGACGACGCGCTGCAGGACGGCCTCCTGATCGTCGTCGTCGTCGTGGGCACCGTCGGCCACCGCCGCGGCGTCCCTGTCGCGGTCGGCGGCGGCGTAGAGGGTGGCCACGGCGCAGCGGCAGACGGGGCAGGAGTTGCGGACGTCGAGCCAGCGGTCGATGCAGGGCGCGTGGTAGAGGTGGCCGCACGCGGGGACGACCCTGACGCCGTCGTCGTCGCCGAAGGGCTCGAGGCAAATGGGGCAGTCCTCGGGCATCAGGCCCTTCTTCTTGGCGGCTCCGGCGCTGGCGGCCGCGGCCGCGTACGGCACCACGGGCGGCAGCGCGGCCGCGGAGGGGCGGAGGAAGAGCGCCACGCCCGGGGCGAGGTCGCGCATGACGCGGCGGCGCGCTTCCGTCACTGCCCGCTGCCGCGCGCAACGGCAGTAGGTGCAGAGGAGGATGAAGCAGAGCAGGATGGAGACGAACACCACGGCCGTGGCCGCGCCCGAGGACAGGTTGAACTCCTGCGCCCGCCCGCCGCCGCCGGAGCCGGAGCCGGACGACACGGGGCCGACCGCCGGCGTGGCGTGCGGGTGCGGCGCGTGCGCGTTGTCGCCCGGGGCCAGGCGCCTACTCGCGCGCGCCGTGGCCATGCCCTGACAGGCCTGCTCTGTGTTTGTGCGCGGGCGTCGTGGCTAGGGCGTCGCATGTTTGTAGTTGTAGCTGAATGCTGGCTTGCCTCGCGCCTCGTACTGTGGTAGTGTGCACCCGAGGCATGTCGTTGTAGGTGTAACTTTGCATGTGAAAAGAAAGGGTTGTTTCAACCAGTGCCCAGTGCCGTGTCGACGTACGTTTGGGATCTTAAGAGCGAGACTAATAATACAACCTGTAAGATTTTTTTAGCCTTTTCTTAGCCATTATGGTAGTCAGCTATTCATTATTAATGCATGACATACTTATCTCTCTTACAAAGTTTTTTAATTCTTGTGTCCAAGCCGACTGTAATAGCCCGCTTCTCTTGTCGCCTCTCCTCCACCTCAACATTTAGCCAGTTTACGGCCTCTTATTATACTTGCTCTAAGGACCTATTCGGTTAGTCTGGATTGAGGCCATGAATTATTCCCGCTAATCAATATTATACAAATTAGATAATCGTTCCGGCCAGGAATCGTTCCAGGTCTTCCGCCCTGTTTGTTTTGGCTTGTTTGGCTTATAAGCCGTACTTTTTCAGCCAACGAATAGTATTTTTCTCTCACACCAAATCAGCCAACGGTACTTTCAGCCATGGCTTATCAGCCAAACAAGTCCAAACAAACAGGGCGTTCATTCCGAGGTAACCGAACATGCCCTAAATGATGTGCTTTCAAAGTGGTTAGGCCGATGATAGAAGGTGCTAAACAAATTCTGAAGAACCAAAGCTTTGCAGTGTGCCACGCCCAAGTGGCCACTGCTGCCGTAGTTATCCTCCAGCGAACGTAACCTTGGAATTCAGTCGCTCTCACGGCGGGCCCAGGCAACGCAGTCCCGGGGCCCACGCCAAGGAAATGTCACCTTCTATCCATGCCATTGCCATCTAACGAATGGACAGGTGACGTTACACGGCCGCACGTACAGCAAGACTGCACGACCTCGGCCTCGGGCTTGATAGCTTCCGTTGGCCGGTTTCGTGCGCTGCGCATTGACAAGCTGACACAGCTCCTTTGGTTAATCTTATTTTGTCTCGCGTCCCCGGGCACCTCGGCCATCACTACGTAGAGCTCCCCGCCCTCGTCTATGACCAAAGAACCCGACGGCCTCTAGGTGATCCCTCCACCCGCCGTCCCTGTCCATCCTAGCAATCTCTATGGCTCGTTATGGAGTAGAACGAGAGAAATAATTCGGAGGAACGAGACCCACTAACATGTGGGAGCGGACCACGTCAACTAAAATCCGGTGGATTCTGGATAGGTTGGTTACGCAACTGGACAACTGGTTTCACTAAGTCAGGACTGATTATACCGAGAAAAACCAGACTACGTACATTTTTTCCCCAATACCATATTGTGCCGCTAACGAATATATATATGAATATGAATCTGTTCGGCCTTGGATTACCACCAGGACCTAAGTTTTACGCTCACGAATAGCCGAACGAATCAGTAAGCAAAAGTTCCTTTCTTTCAAGTTTAGGGAAGCGAATCTGTAAACTCTGTACGCCGACGCAGTGACATCTAGTATGGTACTGTAGAGCTTTCAACGATAAACTGGAGAAGCATATTTCACATCTTGACAATTCTGTAGCCAGTGCAGGTGTTCTCTATTCTGGTTTGAAGTCGTTTCCATCTATTTTGATTCGCTGAAAGAAAGAAAACAGTCAAAGTTTTGCTGAAACTTAAGTGGAGAAGAAAAACAACATAAGCTTCCCGTGTTCTACTGTTCTGGGTACAAGTAAGTAATAAGATAAAGAGAACACATCCTGTGCCCTTTCAAAACCTGATTGCAAAATTAGCAATGAAATTCATGCTAAAAATATCTTTGTCACAGAACTAGAGGGAAAATATAAGATTCTGTAGCCTGTTTTTTTAGGGAGCCAACTGCAGTTCTGTATCGGTTTGTAAAAAAAAGTATTGAGCAAATCAGCATTAAGAATTTACCTCAGTACTAACTCAGCTTCTTGCTGAACTTTACGCAGGCTTACATTCATATATAGTCCCTGCAGCAATAAGCTCATCTTAAGAAACCATTCAGATATGCTATCAAACTTGAAATAGAAGTTTGGGCTAGAACAGACCCGAAATGAAACGTGGGGCTTTTTTATCAAACATGTCCATGTGTTACATAATTTAAATAAAAAAAAGCTATCCAACGTTGGGAAACGAGACAGGAATGCTACATGTATATTTATGTTTTATCTTTTCTAAAACAATTAAAGCTAATCTATTTGATGATGACTATGGCATCCACAATGTCTTATCAAACATGTATCAATAAACCATGATGGATTTTTTTCTCCCATTGCAAAACATAGAAATATTTACTCCTAATATCCTCATAACTTTAATTTTCATACCACCCATGCATTATAGTACAGTTAAGTATCTAGTTCCGCGACTTCCTTTGAGGACCTATAAAAATCTTTAATTTTAATTTCTAATTAAAGTCAGCAAGGAGTTAGTTCTCGACGTGTCATCTGTCCGCTAGTGATTACAATGGGAGACCTCTTGATTTTCCATGTGACGTGTCAGGGATTGCACTAGTATATGCATACGGCTTGAAGGCACATTTATTTAGACTGGACAACATACTACTCAAGATTTCAGTTCACGGTTTCATTAGTTGGACCATCGGCTAACCAGGTTCTGATAAGATAAGTTTTGTCCTAATCAAATCAAAACCGCATCAGCAACTTGTTGAGAATCTTGTTTCTTAGTAATTAGAGAATGGTCAAGGGTTCAAAGGCCCATGATGTTGCATTTATTCTCTGTTTTTGACATTTGTGGAAAAAAATATAAGAAATTGGCATGGGAGGCACTTGGAACAAAAAAGAAACCAAAAAAGGCAGATGGGTGAGAAGGTTGAGGGGAACATTAAAAAAATGTGGATGAACAATGGGGCAAGATGACATGGTAGTGGGAAACCTTTGTTTCATAGGGAAGGGTGAAGCGTTCAAAGGCATATGATAGTGCATTTATTCTTTGTTTTTTATATTTATGGAAAAACTTAAGTACTCAAAACAGAAAAAAAACCAAAAAAAAAAACAAAAAAAAGCAGCATACCTGGGCAGATGGGGGCAGGTCTGAGAGAAGGAAAAAAACACACAGACAGACAATGCGGAGGCATGCAGACTCTACCGCTGCACCGCTTGCAGGGCGTGGAATGGAAGAAAAAAAAGCGGACGGTTGATGGACAAAGAAACTGATTGCGCTTTAATATTAGGAAGAGTTTGGCTCTTTCCACTTTCTTGGGGAAAAATGATTGAAACTCAAGAGTATAACTTGGCTACACTTTCGAGCTTTCAAAACTGAATCAATTTTCATAGAGAAAACATCAGGAACTTTGGCCTCTTCCTTTTCACTTTCCTCCTAATGTGCCCTTAAGTAGTACAGCTTTTGCTACAATTCTTTATTGAACTCCAATTGATATCAACTAGATTATGAAAAACAAGAGTATTGTAGAAAATATGCATAGCATGTTTCCTTCCATTGGTTGTATGAATTGTAGCTCCAGTAGTCATGTTAATCTTTTGATCTGGCACAAGCTGAATATCCATCTTCTGCAACACAACTGCAAGTGCCACTATCGCTTCTAGGAGAGCAAATTGATCTCCAACACATTTCCGAGGACCTCCACTGAATGGGATAAACCTGGGAAAAAGATGTAGCAGGAGCATGGCGCAGCTCAGTCACATTTGCCAGTTAACAAAAACTAAACAGATGCTTAATGGAAATATGAAGTGACAGGATAGAAACGATATATCGCAAAGTTGTATTCTGACCTGAAATCTGTGTTTGACTCATTTGGAACAGGTCCCTCTAAATCAAACCTCACTGGAATGAACTCATCTGCTCTATCCCAGACCTTTGTAGAAGGAACAAACAATTAATTGTAGAATGCAAAAATCTGCTAAGTGCTTGCTTAGGCATTGCTACTAATGAATGAAAACACCATATGAGCACAGCTCCAGCCATAACAAAAGCATAGGCATAGCAAAGCATGCTTCAAATGGTAGCAAAGAATGATAACTACGTAATATAACTATACTTCTAAGTTCAGGCTTTTAGGGCCTATATGACAGCAAACTAGTATACTCAATGCAATAAAAATAATGTTCATGAAACCATCTTATCATTATATCATGGAAATTGATAGAACAATGCAGGTTGCATCAAGACCTGACAGATAGACTAATAAACGATAATTTGTAATTTTCTTAGTAAGCCTACAGCAACTTGGAATAAGATCCTCCGTATAATTCACAAAATCAGACATGTATATTCAATATTCGACGATGCAAAGCATTTACTTTAAAGAAATCAAATACTGCCAATTGTGTGTGATTCATATTCAGATGGAGAAGTACCTCTGGGGACCTGTGTATATTGTACACAGATATCATAATATCTTGACCAGCCTTAACCTTATAGTTTCCAGGAAGAACATCATCAACTATTGCACGCCGTAACAGCACCTATCAGTAATTAGTCCATGAGTCACCATTTCACCAAAACCAATTACAAAGTTGCTTGTCACTAGCACAAGAAATGTACAGGAGGGTGTGGATACAGCCGCATAGACTCATTTATACAACGCATCAAGTACTTCAGCTCCTTTACATCCTCATATTTGGGGAGTCTACCTTGTAGAACACGATCTACTTCATCTTGAGCTCTCCTCAGTGCAGCCGGATCCTTCAGTAGTGTAACACTGAGCAGTCAACATATTAAAGTGACATTTTAAGTAATGCATTATTTGTCACTTTGGTTGATAGATGGTTACTGCAAGCAATATAGCACTACAGGAGTACCTTACTGAGAAGATAGATTGTCCATGTCAGTACAGAGCCTGTTGTTTCATGACCAGCAACTAACATTGACAAGAGATCATCACGTAATTGTACACTGCTTACCTGGAGAACCAAAAGGCATGTCAACTAAAGCAGTCAAACTTGCAATAA